GAAACATCTTTCACCAGCACCCACCTCCCGTCTCACCCTGGCCTCACAGTTCCAATCTTCCCCAAGCAGGTGCTGCCACCAGCCTTCCAGGAGGCCTGGGGTGGGAGCTGAGAGGTGGCGCCGGCAGGGGGCAGGGAGGAGGGGTTAGCAGCAAGGGGGAGGTGCAGGGACTTGGAACCGGAGCAGAGGGCACTCACCGGCAGAGCCAGCCCCACTGGCTTCCTGGTCCCCGCTGATGCCCAGTTCTGGGTCCCCGCTGCCTTCTGCACTGCCAGACTCCGAGTATGCGGGCGGGGGGGTGGCCAGGACCACAGGAGCAGTGGAGATGGGGCGGACGGTGGTCTTGCGGATCCCCTGGGTGGTCCAGGGGGTGGTGGTCGGCCGGGCCGTGGTCACTCGCCGAGTCACAGGCTGGCTCCTGGGAATGGGCCTTGCTTCGAACAGCGGGGAACCTGTGGTCGTCTCCGCCGGGCCGGGAGCCGGGGTGGTGAGCCTTAAAAAGGTGGCGGGGGGAGGAGCCTGGCCAGGGGCAGCGTGGGCAGTGGGGCAGGGGGCACCGTGTGACTCACGTGGGTGATGGATTCTGAGAGAGCAGCAAGAGAAGGTGGTTAGGGGGGCAGATTGGACCGGAGCTCGGACCCCATCCTTTGGGAGTCAGGGCTGGGCAATAAAACGGCAGCGGTTTGCCAGGCTTAGCCCCGGCCGGCTGCCATCGCTATATTTACCTGCACCTCCGTAGGTGCAGACGATTTCAGCTCTATTGGCTGCAGATCACTGTTTCTGGCCAATGGGAGCTGTGGGAAGTGGTGCAGAGCTGCTGGCTCCCATTGGCTGGGAATGGCGATCGAGCTGCAATCGTCCTTACTTGTGGAGGTGCAGGTAAATATAGTGGTGGCAGCACACCAGGGGCTAATCCTGGGGAACCAGATCTGGCCTGTGGCTTGATATGTGCCCTCCCTTGGCTTATGGCCATGTGTGCCATGCTGGGAACTGCAAACAGGTGCCCCACATCCTCCATGGGAACTGTACCCAATCCTTCCACCGAGAGGTCCATGGGAACTGGGGCCCTCTTTGCAGTCACAGGACCCATGGGTGCCCAGGCCAGCCCTCTGGGGGAGGGACAGGGGAGAACATGCCCAGTGGCATAATAAAATCACAGACATGTAGGACAGGAACGGGCCTCAAAATATCAGAGTCCATTCCCTCACTGAGGCAGGACTAAACGTTACCTAGCCCATCCCTGATAGGTGTTTCTCGAACCTGAACTTGCTCTTACAAGGCTCCAGTGACTGAGATTTTACAACTCTCCTCAGCAATTTGTTCCAGTGCTTAAAAACCCTGACAGTTACGAAGTCTTCCTAATGTCCAACCTAAACCTCCCTTGCTGCAATTTAAGCCCATTGCTTCTTGTCCTGTCCACCGCGGATAAGGAGAAAAATTTATCACCCTCCTCTTTACAGCCACCTTTTACAAACTTGTTATCAGATCCCCCCGTCTGCTTTTCTCCAGACTAAACAATCTCAGTTTTTTCAATCTGTACTCACAGGCCATGCTTTCTAGACCTTTAATCATTTTTGTTGCTCTCCTCTGGACTTTCTCCCATTTGTCCACATCTTCCCTGAAGTGCGGTGCCCAGAACTTTCCAGCTGAGGCCTTATCAGTGCTGAACAGAGTGGAAAAATTACACCTCATGTTTTGCTTACAACACTCCTGCTGCTACATCCCAGAACAACGTTCACTTTTTTTGGTTTTTGCAACTGCATCCCGTTGCTGGCTCATATTTAGCTTGTGAACTATGATCACCCGCAGATCCTTTACCACGGAATCATTGCCCGTTTTCTATTTGTGCAATTGATTATCCCTTCCAAAAGGTAGCATCTTGCATCTGTCTAGATTGAATTTCATACAATTTATTTCAGGCAGTTTTCCAGTTTGTCAAGATCATTTTGAGTTCTCATCCTATCCTCCAAAATGCTTGCAACCTCTTCCAACTTGGAAACTTAAATGTGAGCTCTCTAAGCCATTATCCAAACCATTTACAAAGGTATTGAATAGAACCAGACCCATGGCAAATCCCTATGGGATGCTACTCAATATACCATTCCAGCTTGACTGAACTGCTGATAAAAAAGAATACCTGGAGAGTAGTTCCTACCAGTTGTTCACCCCCTTACAGTAGGCACCTCTAGGCTATATTTCCCTAATTTACTTATGAGAAGGTCATGTGAGACAGTATCAAAAGCCTTACTGAAGTTGAGATATACCACACCTACCGCTTCCCCCTTATCCACAAGTCTCACTGTCAAAGGAAGTGACTAGGCTGCTGTGATACGATTTGTTCTTGGCAAATACATGATGAACATTACTTATCAGCTGCTTAGTCATGCTGAGAGGGATGACTAGCACGGCCCAAACACAAACTATTCCATTGCGTAGGAAAGATAAAAGTATAGCAGGAGACAGCCTTCGTATAACCAGATCTTACATAATCTACAAATCAAAAGATGAATATAAGCAAATAACACAAGTATGCAGGGGTAAGATTAGAAAGGCAGAGGCACAAAATGAGCTCAGTCTAGCTAGAGACATAAAGGGTAACAAGAAAACATTCTACAAACATATTAGAAGCAAGAGGAAGACCAAGGACAGGGTAAGCCCATTGCTCAGTGAAGAGGGAGAAACAATAACAGGAAACTTGGAAATGGCAGAGGTGCTTAATGACTTCCTTTCGGTTTTCACCAAGAAGACTGATGGTGACTGAATGCTTAACATAGTAAATGCTAGTAGAAAGAGGGTTGATTTAGAAGTAAAAATTTTAAAAAAAGAACAAGCTAAAAATTACATAGAGAAGTTAAATGTCTTCTTCAAGTCACCAGGGCCTGATGAAATGCATGCTAGAATACTCAAGAGACTGATAGATGAGGTATCTGAGCCATTAGCTATCATCTTTGAAAAATCATGGAAGTTGGGAGAGTTTCCAGAAGATTGGAAAAGGGCAAATATAGTGCTCATCTATGAAAATAAGAACAACCCAGGAAACTACAGACCAGTCAGTTTAACTTCTGTGCCAGGAAAGAAAATGGAGCAAATACTGAAAGAATCCATCTGCAAACAGCTAGAAGATAATAAGGTGATAGGTAACAGCCAGCATGGATTTGTAAAGAACAAATCATGTCAAACCAATCTGATAGCTTTCTTTGATAGGATAACAAGTCTTGTGGATAAGGGAGAAGTGGTGGACGTGGTATATCTAGACTTTATTAAGGCATTTGACACGGCCTCGCAAGACCTTCTTATCAATAAGCTAGGGAAATACAACCTAGATGGGGCTACTATAAGGTGGGTGCATAACTGGTTGGATAACTGTTCTCACGAGAGTAGTTATTAATGGTTCACAATCATGCTGGAAGGGCATAACTAGTGGGGTTCTTCAGGGGTCAGTTTTGGGACTGGTTCTGTTCAATATCTTAATCTATGATTTAGATATTTGCATGGAGAGTACACTTATTCAGTTTGCAGATGATACCGAGCTGGGACGGGTTGTGAGTGCTTTGGAGGATGGGGTCATAATTCAAAATGATGTGGACAAACTCGAGAAATGGTCTGAAACAGGATGAAGTAAACAGGATGACGTTTAATAAGGACAAAAGCAAAGTGCTCCACTTAGGAAGGAACAATCAGTTTCACACATATAGAATGGGAAGCGACTGTCTAGGACAGAGGACAGCAGAAAGGGATCTAGAGGTTATAGTGGACCACAAGCTAAATATGAGTCAACAGTGTGATTCTGCTGTAAAAAAAGCAAGCATGATTCTGGGATGCATTAGCAGGAGTATTGTGAGTGAGTAAAACACAAGTAGTAATTCTTCCACTCTACTCTGCAGTGATTAAGCCTCAATTGCAGTATTGTGGCCAGTTCTGGGCATGACATTTCAAGAAAGATGTGGAGAAATTGGAGAAGGTCCAGAGAAGAGCAACAAAAATGATTAAAGGTTCAGAAAACATACGCTATGAGGGAAGACTGAAAGAATTGGGCTTGTTTAGTTTAGAAAAGAGAAGATGATAGCAGTTTTATCTTACAAAGAAGATAAAGAAGAAGAGGGAGATAAAGTCAAGGAGAACAATTTGAGGACAGGACAATAAGCAATGGGATTAAACTGCAGGAAGGGAGGTTTAGGTTGGACATTAGGAAAAACTTCCTAACTGTCAGGGTGGTTAAGCACTGGAATAAATTGCCTCGGGAGGTTGTGGAATCTCCATCTCTGGAGATATTTAAGAGCGGGTTAGACAGACCTATCAGGGATGGTCTATACCACTCAACATGCGGCCTGGGGGCCACACACAGCCCATGGCCCATTTGTTTGTGACCCACGGTGCGGTTTGGGTTTACACGGGGCTCAACACGCAGCCTGCAGGTGGGAGCCTTGAATACAGCCTCCACTGGGAGCATACTCCACAACAGTGAGGCGTTTACCAGGCGCGGTGAGCACTGAAAGACACAAGCAGGCGGCCTGGCCGGAACAGACAGGTACAGGTGTCAGTGTTTCTAGCTTCTAGCCTCCAGAGAGGAGGTGCAGAGAGCACCAGGGCATTGTGGGAAGTGCTTTGTATTCATGCCCGTCAGTGTGAAAGAAGCTATTTACATATATTTGCATATATATTTGCATGTATACTCAACCACACTTAAGTTGCAGCCCTTGGCATGTGCTCTGAGTATCATTGTGGCCCCCAGGGCTTCCAAAATTGAGTAGCCCTGGTCTAGACGGTGCTTGGTCCTGCCGTGAGGCCAGGGGACTGGACTCGATCTCTCGAGGTCCCTTCCAGTCCTAGTGTTCTGATCCTAGGCTTGTCTGGGGTGGTAGCTGGGGAGAGACTTACCTTGGCACGGCCCAATGTGCTTCACCTGGATGACCTGCCCCTGCCGGCATGCAATGGTCTTCAGCTGGCACTGGTCGCCATAGGTTACTCCATCAGAGCCACAGACCTGGGAAGGGGACGGGAGAGTGGGGGCAGCTGGACAGATTGGCACCTCCTCTCATCATCCCTCTGCGAAGCAGAGCCCACCTGGGTCATGGGTTTCTCCTCCCTCCCTTGCCATGACGCAGGCCCCCATGGCAGAATTAACCTCTCTCTTTCAATGGTCAGCAAAGGGTTAAAGGCCAGGGAGAACCTTGCTCGTGTCTCCCTGCTGGGAGGGAACCATTGCTCCCAACTGGGAGACAAATCCCAAAAGGGGCTATCGGAGAAATTCCTGCTCTTCCAAGAGGCTCCTTCGGCAGCCGGCAACGGCAGCCTTCCCTGTATGCGGAACAGAGCTGCCGAGCCTGCAGCCGGCAGAAACACCAGACTTCAGTCCCACAAGCGCCCCAGCTGCGAGGCCGAGCAGGCTAAATGCATGAGTGCCAGCTGTCAGGACCCAAGCCGCACCTGGCTGCCTCCCTCTTTTACCTTGGTCATGTTGGCCTCCACGCACAGCAGGGACGGGCACTCGCAGTGGGCAAAGCCATTGACCTCCACGCATGACGCCCCAAACTCGCAGCTCATCTCTTGGCAGGACTTTGGCGCGGAGGGATCTGGGAATGAGAGGAAGGAAATGACACACACATGCAGGGGAAGCGCATCGGTGGTGACCCTCTGCTCCGGTCATGCATAGAAAATGAGCCCAGCTCAGTCAGAAACTTTCCCAAGAGGCTTAAACTGGTCTCACCAAAGAACACAAAACAGCCCTCTAAAGGGGTTAAAGACCAGTGGTCTGAGACAGTCTGCTGTGCATGCATCTGTGGGTGAACAGACATCAAGGGTGTGGGGTGGGAACAGAATTCAGAGCATCAGAATGGCCATTCTGGGCCAAAGCAAAGGTCCATGTAGCGCAGTATCCTGTCTGCCAACAGTGGCCAATGCCAGGTGTCCCAGAGGGGTTGAACAGAACAGGGAATCATCAAGCGATCCCTCTCCTGTCACCCATTCCCAGCCTCTGACAGAAGCTAGGGACCCCATTCCTACCCATCCTGGCTTATAGCCATCAATGGACCTAACCTCCATGGATTTATCTAGTTCTTTCTTGAACCCTGTAAAAGTCCCGGTCTTCACAACATCCTCTGGCAAGGAGTTCCACAGGTTGACTGCGTGATACATGATGAAAAACTTCCTTTTCTTTGTTTTAAACCTGCTACCAATGACTTTCATTTGGTGACCCCCAGTTCTTATGTTATGGAAACAAGGAAATAACTTTTCCTTATTCACTCCCAGCAAAATAACCTCCTGGCAGCTGGGCAAAAGGAGACTCTCAATGGTAGCATGAGCACTAAGGCCTGGATCCCCTCTCTGGCCCAGCCACTAAAGGGCAAGTGGATGCCACATGCGTGAGCAGCCCTAACGTTCCGTCCAACGCAATGCAGGGGTAAGCCACGTGCCCGCTAGCCAGGAAATCACACAGTGACTCCAGGTTTCTTGCGCAAGGGAAACCAGCCACTGTGGCTAAGTGGCTTCCTCGCCTCACCTTTCTCGCAGCCGCTCATCCCCAGCTTGCTTCCATTGGGACACTGGTTGCATTTCATGCCGGTGATGCCAGTCTTACAAGAGCACAGTCCTGTCATCTGTTCACAGTCGTCGCGCACCGAGCCCACCGGGTCGCAGTTGCAAGCTTTGCAAGGGAGGAGCGGGGAGGGATGAACATTGCCACATTTTAGAACACGAGCTTTCCCCTGGGAGAGCTGAGCACCCATGCACGCCAGTGAATCCAGCTTCCTTCCCCCCTTCCGCCCCTCCGCATTGCATTAATGTCAGTGGAATAAACAGGCCCCGAAAGTCAACAATGGAAGCCTTTGAAATGAACAGTATTAACTGTTGCATTTCAACATCGCCCCGCTTCCTCTTCCTTTTCTGCAGGAGAGAGTTTTTAGAGGGAACCCCGGGGCCCCCTTTTGACAGTCTTTTCGATGGAATTAAAGACAGGAATCACTGTCCTTGCTGAGCAAAAAGGAAGATGTTAGTTTGAAACGGGCTGGAACGCCTGCTGGTGTTCAAGTCTGATCCTATTTCTTGAAGACAAAACAAGAAACAAACACTCAAACGGGGAGAAAAAAAGAACAGCAAAGATGGGAGAGGCAGCATCTGTCTCTGGCCTGGGCTCACTCGTAGCCTCACTGCTGGACAAACACAGGCATCGCCCACTGATTTAGGAGCCACTCTGAGCCCTGGCAAACTTGTCACAGCATCAGGCTGTTGAGGGCATTGCCTTTAGCTGCCTCTCTGGTTCCAGTTGTACAGCAACGTTGCAAAAATACGGGCATGGCTGCCCACGCGAGACTCTGATTAGCCAGAAGGAAAAGGGAGGGGGAGAGGAAAGAAGAGAAATGGTGGGAAACAGACTCATGGCAGTGCTGGTGTGACAAAGACCCACATTGCAGATGGTGTTTGGGTTTTAACCAGAGCCAGTGGAGGTGCCATCTGGATCCCTCTCTTGAGGGTGAAGCTTGCTCCTTCCTGTTCTCCCATCACGCACTCAGCCAGCACCCTCTAATTTCCCTCCACAACCGCTGTTGGGGACCCCTGAACGGGAGGGATGGTGGATCAGCCCTTCCTCTCATTATTTTGTCCCCCGCTTTGGCTTAATTTCCAACACGCCAATCTGGGTCCATTGATTTCCAGTCTCACCCTTTTACCAGGCACGGTCTCATCATAGCCCTGGAGGTCTGCCAACGACATTGTGTTGAGACTCATTTGGTTTCCCCTTTTGCATCTTTCCCATCAGGGTAATTGTTACAGGTTACTGTGACGTTCTGTAAGCGATTCTCCACTTTCCCCACAGACAGGCTTACAACTGGGGCAGTCCAAGTAGGCCCCAGTGATCGCTATGCTCCTGAGAGGCAGGTGCCAGTCACCCCATTTTGCAGATGCAGACACTGAGGCACAGAGAGGTGATCGTGATTTACTCAGGAGCAGAATCAGGAATAGAGCCCAGGAGTCCTGTTCCTGTACTAGTCTTTAATCCTTACACTACATCTCCCAAGGCAGGACTAGAACCCAGGAGTGCTGATTCCCAAGGAGCCCATTTCTATCATTAGAGTCACGACCTCATTACCACTAAGGTCACTTTGGTAATCACATTTACCTCCAATGCAAGGCTCCACAGCCAGCCCCGTGTACCCTCTAGGGGCCTTATGATAAATGAGAGGCTGGCCAAGATTTAAAGGCTAAAGGGGCCATCACGAGCATCAGATCTGACCTCTTCCATACTACGGGCCAGAGATTATGTCCAGTAGTTCCTGCATTGAGCTCATGCCGTATGGTCGAGCTAGAGGGGCTCTTTAAGGGAAAATACCCTATTTCGATTTAAAGACCCCAAGCGGTGGAGAATTAACTACAGCCATTACATAGCTATTCCAATGTTAAACTGGCATCCTATTTCCAGCCTGAACTTTTCTGACATTGCCCCCAGCTACCATGATTATGCAGAGCCGGCCCAAGCTACGGGCTGACTGGGCTACCGCCCGGGGCGCCCCATTGTAGGGGGAGCTGCACAGGGCTGCTGTGCATGCGCCGGGTGCTACATGGGGCTGCCGCACATGTGCCAGGCCCCCGGGGCGGGGCTGTGCATGCGCCGGGCACCTGGGGGTGCCGCCACGCTCCCGGGGCACACGAATGGCTCATGCCGCCCCTGTGCTTATGTTTAGACAAAACATTTACTCCCAGAGCCAGGAGCCGAACCCAGGAGCAATGTTCCCTCTAATTTTCTCCACGTGCAGAAAACATTTTTTCTTCTGTGCACCCAGGCATGTGCAGATGTGCACCACCAGTAGGAACACGTGCCGGCAGCTGTGCCCAGCTGTGGGCGCACCAGTAGGAACACGTGCCGGCAGCTGTGGGCACACTGCTGATCATCTGAATCTCTCCTGGGCGGCCGCTCAAGCGCTCAGCTTACAGGGAACACTGCCCAGGAGTTCTGACCTCCCAGGCCCATGGTTGAATCAGCCAGGCATACTGCCTCCGTGATCCTTGAGCCGCAATCCTAGAGCTTGGAAGTCAGATTCAGTCCCTTTACCTAGGACGTGGTGGAAGCCTGATGCACATCTATCACCTAAAGAGAGCGCACGATCATTTCTGAGCGCGAGGAAGACAGAATCCCATCTCCAGTGTTTGCAATCCTGTACAAAGAACTCGCCTTTCCCTGACCCGTCTGTCCTTTTCCCATTTGGCACATATCGATTTTCTGGCTCAAGTCTCCAATGGAGCTTGAAATTAACATGGGTTTTTTTTTGTTTACTTCCTTGTTTGTACAGAGGCACTGTCGGTGATGTCAGCGCAGATTTGGGATTTGGCCGTGCAGGGATTCAGGGGAGTGTCTGACGTTCCCTTGCCATGGACGGAGCAGCCAGCACCCCGAATCCTGCACTGGCTGGATTCCTTATCCCCCCAGATGCTGGAAGCAACCCTTGTTTGGAGACATTCCCGAAGCGCTAGCCTCTGAAAGAACTGCAGGAATTCAGAGTGCCTGGGCCCTGTACCACGCTGTCTAAGGAGATCTTGTCCTACAGAAGATCCTGCCAGCAGCCCAGAGAAAGGAACAAACTCTGTCTAGCTGCCGCTGACTGAGAGGAGTAACAATGGGGGTGGGGTTCACTTTATTAAAAAAAATACCAAAGTCGGGCCTGCACTTAGTCACTAACTCCAAGGCCAGGGTGAGTCAGGTCGGGTGATAAGGCCGGGGGCTGGCACCTTCCCCAGTGGTGAGGTCCTGGCACGTTACTTAAACATTAGCTTGACCCAGCCTAAGGAACAGGCTGGTCTGTGTCATTCTTCCTAACACCATCTTGTTAGGCCTTACGTCCCTCTGTGCTTGGCTGCCTCCCACCAGCTGGATCTGGCCAACTTCTGGTGCAGGAGAGGGAACACCAGGGAGGAAGCTGTTTCTGGTAGGGCAGCAGGGCAACGGTAAACACAGACGTTCCCTGGTCTCCTTTGCCCACACGCCCTCCCGCCGGCGCCCCTGGTACTCACGGGTGCAGCCGCTCTTGCTGTCCGTGACGATCCCGCGGAAGTTCCAGAAGCCGGGCTCACAGCGGTCGCACTTCAGGCCTCCCACCCCCGGCTTGCAGGAGCACTGCCCGGTGGTGGGATCGCAGGCCCCCCCATACGAGCCGTAGGGGTAACACTGACAGGTGCCTGAGAGAGCCAGAGAGAGCAAACCCTCAGGCCCGTCAGCAGCAAGCGGGGTCTCAGACCGCAGGGGACTTGGCTGCATGCGCCAACCTGATCCGCTTGGCTGAGGTGGCACCACATTCCTGGGGCTGGTATCAGGACAATCCCTTGGCCCCTAACAAAGCCCTTCCCCTTAACACCCCCCCCCCCCATTCGCCACGGAGTGGCCCTAAAACCTTCCAGCTCCTCCTCCTCACTTGGCTTGCATCTATCGTCCTTCTCTCTCGGAAAGGAGAGAAGAGGGGGAGGGGACTCATATTCCTGGGAAGCAGGGGTAAGAGGGATGAGTAACCCCAGGGTATCTGGGGCGAGAGGGCAGAAAGGGGCTAGAAAAGGGAGGGGAGTCCAGCAGTGGTCATGTCCCACCTCCCCCATGTCCCAGGATGGCGCTAGAGCCACTGGGTAAATCATTATCTCCAGAACAAATACTAGCCGAGGTGCTGGAGTCACTTGCATAGGAGGATTCCACTTAGACGTACGCTCCCGTTGCCAATGTGTGGGCAAGGGCGGAGCAGGAGCGGGAGAGAGATGG